CATAGTTTCCAACCTAATGTTTACGAACTTCTTCGTAGCGTACGTAGCTTCATTTTCTAGAAAAATGAGCTTGAAAATGGTACATAAGATCGCCCAGAAGCTTGTACAGTGATTTCTCTCACGTTCTCCGCCAACTTGGGAACAAATATGGACAACATGGGAAGTGGAGATAATAATAATAATAATAATAATCATTCGAGCCTCGCTCGTTTTTATAATCGCCGATTGATCTCCTCAACCCAAGTAGTCCATTTTAGTTACCAAGGGAACAATGAGAGAGAGAGAGAGAGAGAGAGAGAGAGAGAGAGAGAGAGAACAAATATGGACAATAGGGGAAGTGGAGACAATAATAATAATAATTATAATAATAATAATTATAATAATAATAATCATCATCATCATCATCATCATTCGAGCCTCGCTCGTTTTTATAATCGCCGATTGATCTCCACCCAAGTTGTCCACTTTGGTTACCAAGAGAACAAAGAGAGAGGGAGAGAGAGAGATTACTGTACTTTCTATCATTCGCTACTCCAATCCGTAGCATTTCGACTTAGAACGACAGGATTCCTTGCGCTGCACCTGCGAGAAAATAAACGCGTCCGACGACAATTACAAAAACTTGCCACCTTCGTTTGCCTTGCTGCGATGCGACCAAGAGTATCTTCGTCTTGATACAGCCGATGCGGCTACAATGCAATTTCCGCGATAAGAGATGTAACGATGCAATTAAGTAGGTAGAGGGCCATACAAGCAACCGAATGGACAAAAGAAACGTGATATAGTGGAACATAAACGACGAGTTAACCGCACACTGACCCCGACATCCCGAAATCCATTCTCATTCATCAGACGGAGTACTTAAATCGCCATTAACAAGAGGATCGTGAGAATTCGTCCGGTTGGATTCCCGCGAATCTCTCTGGATTCGCGAAGAGAGAGGGAGGAAGCGCGCGCGCGAGAGAGAGAGAGAGAGCGAGAGAGAGAGAGAGCGAGAGAGGGAGGGAGTGAGAATGAGGGAAAGCGAGAGAGAGCGAGAGAGGGAGGGAGTGAGAATGAGGGAAAGCGAGAGAGGGAGGGAGAGAGAAGGAGCGGGTGCGTAGATGTCGAAGACGGGTCCGAAGGATAGGCGCGCAAGGACCCGCCCTGGCGGGGCGCACACCACTTTCTCGTCCCTGCTACGGGATATATAAATTATACATGTAAATATACGGGCGGCCAGACCGGCAGAGATCGAACCGTGAGATATCGAGATACGTGTTGGCGACCCGTACACCTCGCCGCGGCCCCGCTTCTTTCCCTCCGGCGGCCGGTCGTTCTCTCGCGTCTCTCCTCTCTGTCTCCGTGCACGCAGAAACTCCACGCATCTCTACGTGCCCGTGGCGAATACCTTTGTCCCCGATTGCCACCGAAACGTCTCTTATATCCCGGCCCTCTCGCGCCGCTCCCGCTAATTCCTATGCATTTTTCGAATTACCGGTGAAATCGCGACGCCGTCGCCGCGTTTACCCGCGTCTACCCTCGTCGAACCCGACGCTCCGTTCCCACAGCGGAAAAATGCCCCGTGGAATGAAGCTCCTCCGGGCCGGCCGGCTCGATTGTTCCCCGGCTTCTGGTGCACCGCGTGCCGTGATAATGAATCTCCCGCGAGGGGTCACGACTCGACTGGGTTTCGGATCCGGGGTTCCCGGTTCTCCCGCGGCCGCGGCCGCTGCTAGAATTTGCGAACGGTCCGCGCGGACCGTTAGCCGGTCGGCGCTGTTATCTCGCCCGCGCGTGACTCCGCGACACGTTTTCGTAGAAACTTTTAGTCGAAACATATTCATTCCTGGAACACGGCGAACTCCGTGGCTCGCGAGCGTTGCACGCCAATCGTTTCCGTGGACTACCTTGGAGCATAATAACTGTGCTAACGTTCAACGCGGACGGACACAAAACGTAAAGGGAACGTTCGCGAGATCGGTGCTGCCATTGCTGTGACGTGGCTGTTGGACGACGACGCTCGGGGACGAATTTTACAGCACCCTCGCAGCTGTGCCTTGTACGTAGTAGTGTCGTGTAGAAAGGTCCGAAAATTGCGACTCGGCCCTGGTCGGATCGCGCTGCACTCGCGTGAAGTTGTTTACATTTTGTGACAGTTCTCGTTGAACGACGTAAACGAATGGAAGTCCGATTGCGGGAGGACTTGCGATCAGAGGAAAAGGCGCAGTTATACAGGATGTCCCAAAAATGTCTCGCAATCCGAACGTAGGGGATTCCTGAGATCATTTGAAGCAACTTTTTCCTTAGCGAAAATGCAATCCGCGGCTTCGTTTACGAGTTATTAAAGAAAAACGCTGACCAATCGGAGAACGATTGCGGCCGGCGCCTCGCCCTTGCGGCCAATGCCGCGTCGCGCCGGCCAGCTAACGCGGCGGCAGTGGTCGCGAGCGCGGGGCGTCGGCGATCTCTCATTGGCCTCCTTTTTTCTCGTGAATAACTCGTGAACGGTGCCTCGCAGAAAATTTGTGCAAAGGAAAAAGTTGCTTCAAATGACCTCAGGAATCTCCCATTTCTGGATTGCGAGACATTTTTGGGACACCCTGTAGGACGAATGCGTGCAACAGGAAACCTTCGTCCCTGATCCTGACGGTCACAGAATGGTGCCTGATGTCGCCCGATCTATATTTTGAATATGTAAATCGAAAAACGCTAAGATTGCGTTCGACGTCAGACGAGTGTCAACTTGCTTGTAAGAAATGGCGTAATAGGTATCAGCCATGTTGAAAGTCTTATTACAAGAAAAACCCGTGTCGCCGATCGATTTAGATCAAACGTATCGTTACGAAACTTCGCGAGAAACCATGGCTTATCTTAGATACGCCGTTTCAGTCGCGACACTTCGTGATACGCTTTACGGTACAAATCGGCGAGAACTTTGAGCCTCCGTGCGAGCCGTCGAGTTTCGATCGCGTGATCGGGAAACGATTCCTGCGACTCGATCCACACAAGTGTGCGACGTTGTGTCTCTTGCCTAACGATTACCGATCCATAACCGCATGTAAAATATAATATAATGTAACGCGAGAAAGAATGTGTAAAATATCGAGCGAGACTTGTAGAATTGTAAAAAACGCGAATTAAGTTGCGAAAGTGAAGCGGTGCTGAAAAAACAACAACAAATATCGTACCTAGATTCTGTCTGATCGCAATTGTTTGCTGCGCGATCAACGGAAGGATAGCGTTACTATTTTTCATCGCGAATTATACTATTCGAGTAAAAATTGCCTTTTTCAACGAAAACGTACGTAAAATAATCGATTCGTTTGTGTGCGACGCGATTGACTTCGATATCATTGTTTCTGATAATTGTGAACGTTGTCGTTGATGTTCGGTAAATTCGAAAAGATTCTTGCTATATATTCGATGTTATATCGTTGAAATTTTGGAAAACCCTTGTCCAATATATTTAGTATCGAATTGCAGAAGAGTGTACGAACAGACTTTCCGAGAATCTTTTTGAACTCGTCGTTCTGCGCTATATATTTTTACTACGAACAATTATCGACAACGGCGATAGTATTCAACATTTTATATAAACAGTAATATCAATGTAAATTTAGTATTCTAAAGTGTAAATATTTAATATTGCAAAGTGTAAAAAAAACGGATTTATTTTATTACTGTGTAAATAATATCGTATGAAGCGTTTTATGCGCGTTACATGAATTCGTACTACGCGCGATAAAGTCAATTACTGCTATGAATGCAGCTGCTGTTTGATGGCATTGCACCCTTTCTATGTAAGAAATTGTACAGTGAATAAAAACAAATTTGATACTTGCATCCTATAAAGAGAGTACGTATATTGAAAATCATATGAAACCTGCCAATTTTGGGATCGAACAAATATTCAAAATGCTATCTTGCATCTATATTATATAATAAAAATGCATTTGCTATTATAAATACCGAGAACAAATAATACTTGCCGCTATTCTCATAAGGCATAACGTAAATGATGGTATTAATCACCCGCGCTAAAATATAAAAATAGCGCCATCGTATATAGCGGTCAAACGCTGAAACCGCTGGTAACCAAAATTACCGACAGTTCCAAACTCTAAGAGTTCATTATATTGGCACAGATGGCGCCATCGCACAAAATAAAATTTTACTCTAGCGCTATTATCCGTAGCGGTGAAGCAGTGAAACTGGTGACAAAATTATCAACAGTTGATTTTGGTTAATAGTTTGAGTGTTTACCCATGAGTCGCTTCTAACCATGGTTCAGTTGTTACCATCGCAGATGAGAACTTAACTCGATCTCACACAGCTATTAAACTTGAAAAACAATATGCTAAAAAAGATTGCTGAGAATATTTAAAAACCGAAAGTAAGGTGAAATGCAAAAATACATTGAATCGTAGGTTTACTCGAATAATACAGACGAGGTATGTATCTTTTGTGGTAAAACCAAACGTGTCAGATCCCTGCAATTTATGTTACCTAGCTTGTACTTGTGCACAAATTGACGCACTGAAAACTTCGGCATAGCACTCTTGTATTCTCACATTCCTCACTGTCACTAGATTAAGATAGGTTATGTATAAACTTAACCTATTTTCTTCAACTATTATAAATTTTTTATTACAATTCAAATATTGTATATTTGTAATGAATTGTACTACAATTCTATAAAAGGTTAAATTTTATTGATCGATAAAGCTACATATCAACATTTTAAATGCTGTGATTATCTCAGTTGAAAAAATGATTTCATTATTGTGAAAACATTAATAAAATATTAAACAGAATTTATATGTATATTACATATTTAATCGCGAATTCGTATTTCTATAGCTCGAGATGCATTGAAAATAATCGCTTACCTTTTATTTAAAATTATACAGTAAAGACGAATATTAAATAAATTGTATAA